AAAACTTAGTTTAGTCTTGTTCTCTGGGGTTTCTGTGTTACCAGAGAGAACGTTGTTTTTCCAAGCTGGAATTGTGTTTTCATTCAGGTAGTGCAAAGATCTGGTCCTTGGGGCAAGGAAGTTTATCATTCTGGGGCATTACAGAACTGAATTGTTGACCATAAACCACTGAAGTTATTTACTGTGGCTGATTAATCCAACATCTGTTGTGTCTTTCAAAGAATTCTGGTGCTACAGGTAGAACAAAATCAGCTGAGTCTCCTGAACATCCCTTCTGCCTTGTCTTTGAAAAGATTTTCTCTTTTTGTCAGTTCTGCATTTGAAGGGGAAAACTAAATGCTACTGAATAAAGGACTCTCTAAAACTGATGTTAATAGAGAATCTGTTAGGGATTTTGTAAAGCATGTTGAGTATTTGTGGTGGTGCATCTTGATCTCTGTCCAAGGTTGTTTTTGAACTTTCTGAAGCTCCTCTACTCCATGCTAGACTATGATATCAACCAGTTCTATGACAACTGTTTACATCTGTGATATGTTTATTAACTGTGAGTTAAATCACATCATTTGCTTGAACAGCAGGTCACGTTATGGCAAATTATGTGAAAGTCCTTGTGTGTTATAGCAACCATCTACTAACCAACCAATAGTTTGAGAGAGCAGCATAAAGCTGTCAGGGCTTTTCTTGGACGGAGTTTGGGCACTTGGGCCCGGCTGGGTGTCCCAAATCCCGGTTTGCTGCCGTGCTTGTGGGGTCGTTAACTGTGTGTGCTGCTGTGCCCAGGTGAGGGAGATGGCGGCCACCACACTCAGCGGGCTCCTGCAGTGCAACTTCCTCTCCATGGACCAGCCCATGCAGACACACTTCGAGCAGCTCTGCAAGATGAGGCTGCCCAAGAAACGGAAACGGGACCTGGGCTCCGTGGGGGACACCATTCCTTCTGGGGGTAAGGGAATGGGGGACACCATTCCTTCTGGGGGTAAGGGAATGGGGGACACCATTCCTTCTGGGGGTAAGGGAATGGGGGACACCATTCCTTCTGGGGGTAAGGGAATGTCCGTGTAGTGCAGATCCCAGTCCCTGTTGCACGTCCTTATCCTTGTTAAGTGCTTCAAGAAGTTGATGTACAAGCATAACTGATGAACAAGAATACACAGCAAAAGCAATTTATGGTTTTTTGCTATGTATTCTTATGCTAAACTAATTTCTTACTCTTAGAATTAACACTCAAGAGACATTTCCATATCCCAGCTCACAGAGTTAAGGATGCAAACGGTTAGGGATAGCAAGTTCCGCAGTAAATAAACTTCCTTAGCTGTCACAACACATTTTTTACCTTCTGTTTTTTAGTAGTGTGGTTTTTTTCTAAGAAAAAAACCGCACCAAGCAACCACAGACAAAAAACCGCGACTAAACAACCAACCAAAAAAACCGAACAAGAAACCCCTTAGACTTAGTTTGTGACTCTGGCTTCTGACTGGACATGTAGTGCATGGGAGTCACAACCATTGGACTCAAAAGTCTGGGTTTCCACATTCCTGAGCTATCTCTGGGTTTCCTTGAGAGAGGGAAGCTCACTGGAAATGTTTGTGATGCGTGCAGCAGTTGCAGATGAATTTCTTACACGTTGTAGCATCACAAATGGAAGGTAGAGGCTGAGTGTGGGATTCTGTGTGAGCGAGCAGCAGCAGTGTGGAGATCCGTAGGTTTGTGTGCGTGGAACTGCCTGGATTTCTGCAGAAGGGGGGATCCCTGCCCTGCTGGGGGGGGTTGTTGCTCTGTGTTGCCTCAGTGTGATGTCATGCCCTGTGCTCGCAGAGCTGGTGAAGCGCCACGCCGGGGTCCTGGGGCTCAGCGCCTGCATCCTCTCCAGTCCCTACGACGTGCCCACCTGGATGCCCCAGCTCCTCATGGACCTCAGCGCCCACCTGAACGATCCCCAGCCTATTGAGGTAAGAACACAGCAAAAATACACTTGGCTTGCAATTACTTCCCCTTTCTCAGAAAAAAATAGGAACCCGTTAAGAAACTCATTTATGATTCCAAATAGTGTTAAATCATGGACTGCTTTTAAAATCTGTTTTATGGTAGATTTGTCTTTGTTTTCAATTTTAAAACATAAACTGAAAGCTGCAGGAACTGTATTTAAAATGTGTGTGTGTATATATATATATATATAATATTTCGAATTAAAAATGCCCCTTTTGTGGATGTCATTCTAGAAAACAACCTGAACCAAAACATTGGTCTGAAATTCTTAAAGTTTTATGAGCAGCCCTAGAAATAAGGTTTTCGTGAAATAGTTGCCCTTAACTCTATTTTTTGTCCTGTATTGGGTTTTGTTAACCTTTGCTGTTTTAGAGGAGTGAGCTGCAGAATTCCTTAGATTTAGCAAACTTTACTGTGGCATGACTTCCGGAAGCAGGAAACTGAACTGATGGAACTTCTCTTTTGTTAATTGAATAATAATCTTCATTATTGTAATAACAGAAGATAGTTTTCCTCTGATTTGTTTCTGTGAACCTACCATCCACTTTCTCATGTTTTGAGACCCAAACCCTTGGTTGGTTTAAAATGCCCAAGGAAAAGACAGCAGGGAAAAAGCATTTTGCTTCTACTTCATAAGAATCTCTTACTGTTTTGCATCTCAGAACTGTAGATGCAAGAATCTTTTCTATGAGAGTGTTGGAGTCATGGCAGCGGTCAAAAGACCTGTGAAAATTAAAATACTGGGCTGAACTCCCCAGAGCCCCCCTGAGCTTTGGTTCTGCTGCAGCCCTTGGTGAGGCTGAGCTCTTCTGTTTGTTGTCCTGCCCGTGTTCTGGGGTGGAGCTGGCTCTGCAGGGACAGGGATCCACCCCACTGTGTGTTCTGCAGATGACTGTGAAGAAGACGCTGTCCAATTTCCGGAGGACCCACCACGACAACTGGCAGGAGCACAAACAGCAGTTCACGGACGACCAGCTCCTGGTGCTCACTGACCTGCTGGTCTCACCCTGCTATTATGCATAGGTGGGTGAGCTGATGTGTTGTGACGTGGGTTTACAGAGGTGTCAGCCTGAGGAATCCTGCTCCAGCTCTCCAGTGGAGCGTGGGGAGAGTGGGGGAATCCCTCACCCTGGGACAGCCAGATCTGCACCCCTTGCCCCTCTGGTGGCCTTGGTCCACACCAGATTTGTCCTGATTAAATACTGCCCATCTCTGTGTGTCCCTGTATTACCCCAGTGCTTTGCTAAGACATTTACACTTGTTTTCTTGACTATTGATGTGCCTTTTCTCCGTTTTCTGCCAGTTGGCTGCCTTTTAAATGCCTGGCAGTGTCCCCAAAGGGGAGGGACGTGCTGCTTTGTGCTCCTGGTGCCTGTGAGGACTTTAGCTGCCACCCAGCCCAGTATATCACCTACATCTCCGATGGGGAATGGCTGCTGCCACACGGTTTCCTCTTCCACCCTGCCAGGTCTCCTCACACAGGCACGTCCCCAAAGAGGGAATCCGTTCCTGGAGTTTCTCTTTGTTACACTACAAGATTCCCACCTCTCTTGTGCTGTGGTGTTTTGTGACAGTATTCCAAGAGCAGCTTTAACGTGTATTTTCATATTTACAATAGCGTGAGGTAATATTTGTGGTTTGGATTCTTTCTCTTTCAGGTTTCTCCTGGGACAACGAGGATGTAGGAACTTGTCTGCAAAATAAAGGAAACTCAAAAGCAATTGATCACGTAGAGAACTTTGTGTTGGAAATCCTGATGCCTAATCAAACCCCACTTTAAAGTACAAACATAAGGACCTGGTTCTACCCAAAAGGAATTTCACCTCCCCAGGAAGCAGCTGTGGGAGCCCCACAGTCCCCTCGTGCCTGCGCTTGCAGGGCCTGATCGTGAGTTCATGGCAAGACCCTCCTCCTGGGCCTGCACCACCCATCACTCTTATTTCTGCTTCCTTGTACACCATGACCTTCCCACCCTCCTGTCCTGCCCCCCGTTCCCAGCTGACTCCAGCATTACAGATATGCAGAACCGGAGAGTGCCGCGCCCCGGAGCCTTCCCCGTGGAGCTCTCCGCCCCTCCCCTGGCCAGCACACAATCCCGGGAGCCTGCCTTCCTCAGAGTTTATTTTTCACTCCTGGGATTTGGGTCTCTCTCATTCAGCCAGCTCAGGGCAGGATTGCCTTTTTGTACCTTCCTTGTGCAAATGTAAATAGCTGATCCCCGTGCGGTGCGGGTGGTGGCAGGCAGAGCGCGGGCAGTGACAGCTCTCGCTGCCTGGCCAGGCCTTTGGAGGGAGCTTGGCCACGGGTGGAATAAAAATCTGCGATTATCTGCATATTGGTAAGGGGAAAAGGCTGACTTCTCCGTGTAATTAGAGCCCAAGATAGGAAATGATGGACTGTAAGTGGTGGTTGAACTCACGGAATGATGTGTATGCACAGTGTGGAAAGGCAGTTTATAACAGTGTATCCTCATAAAGATTGTCACTGTTTGAGCAAACATATCTCGTTTGAAGATTGTGGAAGCTCTGTGTTTTTTTTGCCTGCAGCTTTGTTCAGAGACTGGTATGAATTGGCTGTTTAATAACCTGTTTAATATGTGTTACATAGTTGTAAAAGACTGTATAAATTGTAGAGGCATTGCATTGACAAAACATTGTACAGTTTGCAACCTTTTACATAACACCATTGTGAGATTAATTTGTAAAGATTCATACTTAGATGTTAATACGGTAGTGGTTCTGGCTTTTGTATCGAATCAAATGCCATTCTTAGTTTTTTAAATTATTTTCTTTAACGGAATCTCTCTTTGTTTGTGCCCGAGAGGCAGAGGGTTTGTTTTGGTTTTCCTGTATCTCATCCTGGCTGTGTCCCATCCAGATCTCACTGCACCGCGTGTGGCCGTCGCCAAACGCTGCCGTCACACCCTGGGTGTGCTCCCCTCGTGGGCCGGGAGGTCCGTGGGGACAGTCCCTGAGCTGGAGTGTGTTCCATCTCCCCCGCAGCCCCCGGGGCAGCGCTGGATGTCCCACTGTAGAGCGTAGTGCCAAACTCTGAGTTCACTGTGTACCTAGTGAAAGACCCAATAAACCGACTGTTTGTAACAACCGCAGCTCGCTGTGTTTCTGAGGCGCAAACTGCTGGGTTTGAGACCTCATCTTCAGGTGGTTGCTGTGCTTTTGGGCTTTTGGGTGAGGCTGGTGTTTGTCCTGGGATCTGGCAGTGAGCTAAGGCAATGTTAGGGATTAATCGGAGACCTTGTTCTAAGGGCTGGGGAATGAGCATCTGCATTTATGGAAGAACACCTTGTGCCACTCAGTAACACTCAGCAACTTCTGAGAACTGGAGAAACTAGTTCGTAGTGGAGGTGGGTTTGCTGGCAGATCAAGAAACTTTACAGGTGATGGAAAGCATTTGGTGCAGAGGCTCAGCTTTAGGGGATGTGTTGGCAGTTCATCAGCTGCTGGGGCAGATATTGCCCGTGCTGTCCTGCCTACCTGCAGGGCAGGTCGTGGTGGGATCCAGCTCTGCTGTTTTCTGCTGTGTTGAGAGTTTCTTAGTCAAAGCGTAGCTGGAACTGGTTGCAGGATCCAGTAGGGAATCATTCTGTAGTTGAAGGTGGTATCAATTCCCAACAGCATGTTGTAAATCCACGGTCAATTCCTTGATCCAAACAGATCACCCTGTAAATAGAACACTTGTTCAAAATACACTTCTGTAGGATAAAAATATAACTGTGATAGTGTGAGCAAACCTGTCCTGACTGAGTTTTGGTGAGGGCAGGATTGTTAGTCTCCTGTTCTGGAACTGTAGGAACAGTTTTGAGATCTTCATCAAAGACCACAACTCCGTTACTGCTTTTATTCCCCGACTTGCCCCAAGCAACACACACGTCCTGAGTTCAGAGCTGCCATCACTTTGATGTCTTCTGCTGTCTCTTCCCTAAAGCCTTCAAGATGAGCCGACTGCAGGACCCCAGTCTAGAGAGGGAGACAATTCTAGCGTGAGAAGAGAGAAATTTTCCCCTTGGAACAGGAAGGGAGATGGAAAAATACCTTGGAGATGGTCTGGTAGCCTTGATAGCCTTAGTGACCTGTCAGTCTGCACAGATAACCTGTGACCACACTGTGAAGTACCAGGGAAGGGCAAAAAATGTAAGGTAGAATTCATTCATGGGAGGTTTTGGGGTGGTTTTCTTTTGTTTGCTGGGGGGGTTGTTTGCTTGGGAGGTTTTTGTTCGGGGGTTTTTGTTGTGGGTTGGTTGGCTGGTTGGTTTGGTTTTGTGTTGTTTGCTCAAGTTGCCAGTGACTTACTGCTCAGTTGTTCTTGTGCTAGAAAGAAAATTAAATGGTCACGTTGAGTGCTGTAATCTCCCATATTTCCATAACCAAGTGTATTTGATGCTTATTTTGATAAAAATACATGAGAAAATTATCCAATGGGTGAATAACACTTTAAACTTGTGCTTTTGGGTGGTACCACAGGCTCAAAGTTGGATGTGTTACTGACAAGTAGAACTAATTTGTGGGAGGGTGAGGTTTGGGGTTTTCATTAAAGAGTAAAAGGGATGAAGGTTCTTATTTCTGATGCATTCCTTTTACATCCAGGTATGTCCCCTTTCATCCCCTGTATCCTTTCCCAGGCTGCTGGGAGCCCTGTGCTGGGTGCACTGGCTGATGTTTCCTGGCAGGTTTTCACAGTTAGGCATCCCCAGCATCCCACACTCTGCTCAGTCTCACACTTTCCTCCACAGCTTCAGGCTCCCTGGAATCCTGCAGCAGAGAGCCTCCAGCTTCCTCTCCCCCTGTGCTGTGGGAAACACCATCATCTGGTAAGATGGAAAAGGGAAAATAAACCCACGTGGCAGCAGAAGGTTTTGCTGGCCACTGTCCTTGGAGCGTTTTAACTTTAACCCTGCTGTGAGTTACCAGCTGAGGTGTTTTACATCCTCGCTGGCATCCTGCAGTACCTGGAAGGCAACTTGTGGGGATTTCCCCATCCCAGAACACTCACTGTCCACAGCCACCTTGGGGCACAGGCTCTGGAGACTGGATTTCTAATGAAGGTGCTTCTCAGAGCTGTTAAGAGAGATTTAGGAGGGAAAGTCCTTGAGGCAAGAGGGGAAAAAAGGTTTAGTTTTCTCTCCCTGGGAAGGGAGAGTGACTGAGAAAAGTGGACTGGAATCAAGGGTGTTCTCAGCACTGATAATTCTGCTGATAATGTTTGTAAGTTTTTATCTTTGACTTCTGATGGATTAAAGGGGAGTTGTTGCTCTGGTGATTCCTGCCCTGCTTTGGGGTCTTGGTTCCCATGCTTTTGTCCCCCACCCCAAACTTTGGCAATTCTTTTAAAAAGTTGAAAAGCTCTTTTAAAAAGGGATAGTCCAGCTGTGTGGCCTCATGTGGACTCAGGGGTTAGACACGGTGAGAAGCTGAGGTCAGTTTTTATGCAGTGTCTTGTTTCCAGCTGAAGTGAGGTGTGTTTTTCTGCTCAGAAAGCAGGTGAGGATCTTGTGCTCCTTGGTCACATGGGAAGGGAACAATCCTCACTACTTCCTCAGCATTGACCACTTTGAAGTAATTCACTCTTGCGTTAGGCTAACATTGTGTCAGTCCTGTCTGTTTATGTAACAAACATGTCAGTTCCTATTTGTTCGTGCAGTGTCCTCCGATGTTTACTAATAATAAAATCCGAGGAGGGAGAGCCCAGCTTGCCCCTGAAAAAATAACTCACAGTCAGTAGGGCCAGGGTTCACTCACAGAATTCAAATTAACCAGGGCTGAAGAACAGAAATACAAGCAAGAGGGAAAATAAGTGACAGCCAAGCTGAGAGGGAACATACCTTGAAGCCACAGGAAACCATGTTTTGGGTCTTGGACCTTCCCCCTCCTGGACACAACTAGTTTAAGAACAACCCTGTGTGATTGCTGGGGTAGGGGAGATGGTTATTAAAATTAAGATTGATGTATATACAATTGTAAGACAAGTGTGATGCATAAGTCAGAAATACTGGGTCTACTGTATTTCCATTGTATTTCTGTGCATTGCCTGGCTGGATTTTGATCTCCTGCACCTGCATTTCCAGTGACGTGGAGGCCCCTGGGTTGTGTGTGCCTGGGACAGCTGGGAGAGCGTGCACCGAGAGTTTCCTCGACCTCACGTCCCTGTGAGTATTTCAGAATGATCCCTAAAGTGCCGGGAGAGAACCTACAGGAGAGATGGGGCAAGGCTGTTTGCAAGTACTAGCAGCACAAGGGGGAATGGGTTCAAATTGAAGGAGGGTAGATTGAGATTGGATATTAGGAAAGAATTCCTCTCTGTGAGGGTGGGCAGGCCCTGGCACAGGTTGCCCAGAGAAGCTGTGGCTGCCCCTGGATCCCTGGAAGTGTCCAAGGCCAGGCTGGAGCAGCCTGGGCTAGTGGGAGGTATCTCTGCCCGTGGCAGGGGGTGGAAGCGGATCATGTTTAAGTTCCCTTCCCACCCAAACCGTTCTGTGGTTGTGTGAACCGCAGTCTGTGCTGGCACAGCCCGCTGTATCCAAGCTGCTCGGCGGGCTGACAACGGGGTGGTGCAGCAGCGCCGGAGGGGCTTTGGGGAGCTTTGGGGAGCCCGGTGCCGCATCCCCCGCCCCGCGCCGGGGGAACCCCGGGCCCGCCTTCGCCGGGAGTGCGGGAAGGAGGGCGGGGGGGCTGCGGGTCCGGCCCCGCCGCGGAGGGAGCGGAGCGGAGCGGAGCGGGGCGGGCGGGGAAGGGGCCGGGCCCGGGCGCCATGGCGGCGGAGAGCCGGCGGTGAGCGGTGGGGAGCGGGGCGGGCAGGCCGGCGGTGAGCCCACCGGAGCGGCGGTGACCGCGCCGGGGACGAGCCCCCCGGGCCGGCGGTTACCGGGCTGGCGATGACCGGGCCGGGGATGAGCCCCCCGGGGCGGCGCTGACCGGGCGATGAACGGGTCGGGGCGGCTGCCGGCGGGGCCCGGGGAGCAGCTGGGCGCGAACGGCAGCGGCCCCGCGGAGCTGCGGGAGGGCACCCACGCCGCTACCTTGGCCGCCTGCGCCTCCCTGCTGGCCCTCGTCTTCTGCCTGGGCTCCTACGGCAACCTCATCGTGCTGCTCTCCTTCTTCGACCCGGCCCTTCGCAAATTCCGCACCGACTTCGACTTCATGATCCTCAACCTGTCCTTCTGCGACCTGTTCCTCTGCGGCGTGGCCGCCCCCATGTTCGCCTTCGTGCTGTTCTTCGGGCCGGCCCGCGGCGTGCCGGGCACCTTCTGCTTCACCTTCCACCTCACCAGCTCCGGCTTCATCATCATGTCCCTCAAGACGGTGGCGGTGATCGCGCTGCACCGGCTGCGGGTGGTGCTGGGCAGGCAGCCCCCCCGCGCCGCCTCGACGCCCCGCACGCTGCTGCTCACGCTGGGGCTCTGGGCCGCCAGCCTCACCCTGGCCACGCTGGCCACGCTGCGAGCCCGCGGCTCCCGACGCTGCCTGCCCTTGGCCAGCCTGGCCAGCGGACAGGGCAGGCTCATCCTCTACCTCTACATCGCCGACTTCATCTGCTGCGTGGCCGTGGTGGCCGTGTCCTACGTGATGATCGCCCGGGCCCTGCGCAGGAACTCCCGTGCGAGGCAGGGCCCGCCCGTGGCGGCCGTGGGCTCCCCTCGGCCACAGCCCGCCCTGTACCGCACCCAGAGCTGCGGGCAGGCCCACGGACAGGGCCCTGGACACCCCAAGCACGCCGCGCGGCTCCCGCCGGCGTCGGCCGTCAACCTGGCCACGGCCAAGGACTCCCGCGCCGTGGGGACGTGCGTGGTCATCGTGCTCTCCGTGCTGGTGTGCTGCATGCCCCTGGGCATCTCCCTGGTGCAGGACGTGCTGTCCAACAGCGGGGGCTTTGTCCTCTACCAGTTTGAGCTGTGTGGGTTCACTCTCATTTTCTTCAAGTCCGGGTTAAATCCTTTCATCTATTCCCGCAACAGCGCGGGGCTGCGACGGCGCGTCCTGTGGTGCCTGCAGTACGCCGCCCTCGTCTTCTGCTGCTGCAAGCACAGGACCAGGCTCCGGGCCGTGGGCAAGGGGAGCCTGGAAGTCAACAGGAACAAGTCCTCCCACCACGAGACCAACTCGGCGTACGTGTTGTCCCCGAAGCCTCAGAAGAAGGGCCTGGACCAGGCCTGCGTTCCCAGTCACTCCAAGGACAGCGTGCTGAGCCCCAGGGCTTCCGTGGGCCACCAGCACTACGGCCAGAGCAGCTCCACCCCCATGAACACCCGGATCGAGCCCTACTACAGCGTGTACAACAGCAGCCCTTCCCAGGAAGTCAGCACCCCCAACAGCCTGCAGCCAGTCAGCTCCGTGTTTGGCTTTTCCAAGCCCTGCATCCCCCATCCCACCCCCGGCATGGGCTGGGACTGCAGCACCGCTCCCACCAGGCACATCCCAGTGCCCTCAGTGTAGCCTGACCCACCACCCCAGAGCGGCCCCTGCTCTGGCTGGGGAAGGGTTGTCCCCAAATCAGTGATACAGCACTGCTGCCAGTGAATGGAAATGCCATTCCTGTCCATGTCCAGCTGTTTGGAGCCAGTGCCGGGGGATTTCTCTGGAATTTCACTGCCGAGTCAAGAAGGGGGATACATTTTAGATTTGTGTTTGGAATCGTCACATGAGGGTGTTTTGGTACTGAATTTTACTGCTGGACAAGTGAAAAAGTAAATGCCATAACTGTGTGATTTGTTATGTCACAAGGCCAGGTTGGATGGGGCTTGGAGCAACCTGGACCAGTGGAAAGTGTCTCTACCCATGGCAGGGGGTAGCAGTGGATGAGCTTTCCAACCCATGCTGTGATAAGGCAGAGTATTACAAATATCTTGTATTTTCCAGAAGGAGGAATTGGGAGGGTTCTTGGTATTATTGGAGTAGAAACTTTTTCCGTTGCAGAAGGTTGGAAAAACTGGTGGCACTTTTCAGTAATAGCAAAAGTCTTTTCTATTCCTGAGGCAAAATCCTGGTTCCCTTGAGGTAAATGGCAAAATTTCCATCAGGTTCCACTGAAGTTCAGGATTTCACTCTCGGCTTCTTCAAGTGGGACAAAACATTGTTCAGTCAGTGTTGTATTTCCACTGGGAAGGACTTTGGGGAAGTATGGCGTGGGAATAAACCTCTGCAGTTTATACATTAATATCTGCTGGGTGCTTATTTGAAGGAGGGTTGTTTTATGTATCCCAAAATAATTTGGAGAGGTGTCTTGCCTCTGATAGAAGTAGCTGTGCAATACCTACTTACTGGTGTGGATAAAGATGAGGATAAAGACGAATGTTGCAATATTATAGGACAGGAGTAATGCAGTCTCCTCTGGAATTCCCCAGCCAGTGAGCTGTTAGGCACAGAGTTGTGTTCCTTATTGTTCCTTTGCCCATGACTTTTATAAATTGGGACAGGTAGAACTGACAGCTGTTAACATTTTTAAAACCAGAACAGCCACGTCCCAACTAACTACAAGTTTTGGAGATTTTTTTTTTTTTAAGAAATCTTAACATCAGTTTGATTTAATCTGTCTGCTTAGAAACTTCCCCTGTTGGTCTCCACAGCAAGCAAATAACTTGAAAGGAGTTGTGTTTTATTTTTGTGTCGTGTCACATGTCGTGGGAAGTTGAAATTCCTGACAGTTCTGGCTGTAGGTCACCAAACCTCTGCCAAACAACCTTCACCTTCAGCAGAGCCTCAGTGTCTCCAGAACAATCCTGCCACAGACGTTTGGTGCCTCCTCATAGGAAAATGCCACATCTTTAGGAAAATGCCAGCGATGGGAAGGTGATTTGGTACTTGAGGAACAAAAACCATCCACTTGCTGCTGTGTGAGAGTTGTTGGTTCGGGCCTTTTGTTAACTGAACTGCTGTTCTTTGTTTAACACTGAATTTGAATTAGTTTTGAATAATTCAAACCAGCTTTCTCGCAATAAAACCGATGTGAACAACTTTCTAATACAAATGTAAAATTGAAATGATTTCAGTCTTTCCTCTCTGCCCAGATACTTTTTTTTTTTTTTTCTCCAAATGAATAACGTGGTTCTTTCCAAACTAAGTATAAAAAATAACTTTAAAGTCTTGTCTGGTTGTTCTGCAGTTAAATTTCTCTTCAGTACAAATTGTACTGGAGGGAAAAAACACAAATGAAGCGGTCTTGGGGTTTGCTCTGTGTGTGCAGCTTCTCCTGTGCCTTTAGTTTGGATCACATGAACTTCAGCTCTCGCTGCAAGGTTAAACCCCTCACACCTTATTCATGACAGTCATTTGCATGGAATGTTCATGTGGGAGTAAAGCAGGAAGGGTCCAAGAAGGAGGTTTTATTTCCTTTATGTGATGTGTTAGTGCAAAAAAAAGAACTTTGTCAACTCCTGGTGTCAACTGTACTCTTAATATACCACCCTTGTGTTAATATTTGGGTTAATATGAAAAGTGTAGATAGGAAAGTGCAGCACCTTGTCATCTGCAGTAGGAGCAAAACCTGATTTAAGCTGTCAGTTTTACTGAGTTCATTGTTCTGCAGGATGTTTATGGGTGTAGGAAATCGAGATGGGATTTGGGGATTAGGTGGGTACAACTTTGCAGAGAATCATGAACTGATTTAATCAATTTTATGGTAAAATAGTCAGCTTACAGTCTTTGGGAGCTTAATTTTTCTTTTTTCTTTTAGCCCCTTGTATGAGCACAGAACCAGTAAAGAACCAGTAAGGAACCAGTAAAGAGTGACTGCAAGGTTGAAAAGCAGAGATCCAAGCAGAGGGAAGCAACAAAGTGCAGGCCAAAGGAGGTGGAAAATGTGTGAGAAGAGATGAAGTGAGAAATGTGAGCACTGAGTGGTTTAGAAAGAAAGGAGAAAGCATCAAGGAGCTTATTAGAAAAGCAGCCGATGAATTACTTGGGGCTCATTAATCTCATTAACAAGCGAATTCTGGTTGTTTAAATGAACAAAAATGTTTAAATATTTTTATAACTTAGTCTTTCTAAGTCCTAAATCTCTGTGGTGGTGAGAGTTGGCTTTTTCAGCTGCTGGGCTGCAGGGTTGGATTTTTCAACCTGTAATTGTAAAACCTCCAAGCTGTTGATGCCAAAGCATTTTGCTGAGGAAGAGTGGGTTTGCATCTGGTGAGTTCTGGGAGACCTCTCTGTGAATGCAGGCCTTTGTTTCATGTCCCCCCTTTTGGCAGCAAATAGCTCTGGATTTGTCTTATTTTGTCCCAGCAGAGCTAATTCCCTTTCAGAGTCTGCGTTCCAGACGTGCTGCACACAGACATCCTGCCTTCCTGGATCTGGGATCTTCTTCTGGGAAGTCATTTGGGTTCACTCGCTGTGGGAGCAAGTCCAGACCGTGCTCCACCAAATGATTTGTCCTCACCTGGCGTTTATTTGGTGCCACAGCCTGCTGATTTTCCTTGAACGTGAAAATTAGATCAGCTGGATTTCCTTCCCTTTTTTCCCAAACACAATAAGTAAAATTGTCAAGTGGCACTAGGTGAGGTAGCACGGAGTCCCTTGGAAATGGGTCAAGTGAAGCTTTCCTAGATCTGAATAATAACATACAGAACTTGTTTCTTCAGAGATTTATGTTGATGTAAAGCTCACCCCAGTCACCTAACGGCAGACACTGACACACTCAGCTGTTTTTTGCGTTGGTTGTATATTTTATTGTGTACTTATAAAAGTTTCCAAGCCTGGTCTCTCCCAGCAGTCACTGAGGCCCAAGGCTGTGGCGGTGTGGGTGATAAAAGAAGTAAATTTTTCATCTTTTCTTGCTCCAACCACAGAAAGGACCTGCTGCCTGTGTGCCAGCCTGGCTGCTGGCTTTCTTCCCTGCGTGCAGGTGTGTTCCTACCTTAGGCTGTCCTGGAACAGGAATCTTTGCTCCAGTTGTAAGACACCCCTTGTCGCTGCAACCACCTCAAAAAGCAGCAAGGACGTGCAGTGTGACCTGAGCTGTTCTTCCCTTCAGGAGACATCCACAGCACTTACAGAAATGCTGGGAATAGCTGGGGAGATTCAAGCGCCCAGGAAGAAAAGGCTGTTTACCAGCACTTGGGTCTCATCCCTTCGGGATTCCTTTATCAGAGGGAATGACACAAGTGCGACAGTCCCGCCAGGAACCTCTCCTGGGGCTGATCCAGACAAACCCCGTGGCATCACTGAGCCTTTGCAGGAGGTAAACGTTTCTGTTTGACCGCAGGCTTTCCAGGCACAGCCTTCCCAGTTCCTCGGGTCTCATTCCAGCTCGTACATCTCCTGAGCGGATCCGTTCTCCACTCTCACCAGGGGTTCATTGGTTGTCTTTAAGACAGCTCTCAGCTGATGCCAGAACATCTTCTGCTTGTGTTCCTCGGGGCTCCACTTCAGATAGGTTTTGCTTCTCAGCAGCTTCCTGAGTTTGCTGAACCTCTGTGGGACGCTGTGGGGTGGGAGGTCTTCCAGCACGATCATGATGAGGGAATCCAGGTTCTCGTTGAGGACCCGGTGCTCGGCGAAGTACAGCTCGTACTGACACCAGCAGCTGTTCACAAAGCTGGGGGAGAGAACAAACAGGACCTTGTGGCTGTTCTCTATGCAGTAAAATATGTTCCCAAGCACGGGGTGCCCCGGTTTGAAATCCCTCTCGTGGTAGCAGATCTTGAACCCATCGTTCTCCAGCTTCTCCAGCAGGTTCTCTTTGGTCCAGGCGGCGTCGTGTTCGCTGTACGAAATGAAGGCGTCGTAGAGCTTGTTCTCGGGCCTCTTCTTGTTCTGCCTCCTCTTGGCCATGCACCAGTACCAGCCCATCCTGATGTACCAGAGCCCGTGGAAGTGCCAGCACAGGGCTGTGAGCAGCAGCACCGCGAGGCCAGCGGTGCCGGCGGTGATTCCCAGCTGGAGCCCCAGGGAGCAGCGCAGCAGCGTCAGGCGGCTGCTCTCCACCAGGGAGCCCCTCCTGTCCGGGGGGAAGCTGCACCTCACGTCCCCCCTGCCCTTGATCTGCAGCTGGGGGCGGTGCATGTAGACGTTCACGAACCAGTACAAGTCACAGTTGCAGAAGAAGTGTCTCCCTTGGACCGTCAGCACCCTCAGGCTCGTCAGCGGGCCGAACGTGTCCTCCACTATGGTGGTGATGGCGTTGTCACTGATGTCCAGCTCCACCAGAGAAGCTGGGAGGGAGCCACGCTGTAGAAAGGAGATCTTATTCCCTGATAAATTGAAATACTTCAGCGCTGGCAGGGAATTGCCAAGGCCGTCGGGCAGCTCTGAGATGAGGTTGTGGCTGCTGTCCAGGCTGGCGAGCGCAGGAAGGGGGTCAGTGGTTTCCAGCTGGGTGATTAGGTTCCCAGAAACGTTGAGATGCTCCAGGTTCCCCAGGGCCTTGGTTAAGGACAGCACCTTCAACTTGTTCTTACTGATATCACATTTCTGTAGAGCTAATGGGAAATACTCCACGT